CATGCAAAAGATAAACATTTCCCTCTATCGCCTACGAAGTGCCCAGTGAATTCAAAAGGGCCTACAAACACATTTCAATGAATTTTTTTTAAATCACACACATACTATACATTTTCAGAGAGGGGAAAAAAAAAAAAAAAAAACGACCATGAAGGAGGAGCAGACATTCAGCATGACACTGAACTTCTCTTTGGTAAGACTGAAGAAATTTTCAGGGTCATAATAAATGAATACTAAAGTATCTTATGAATTTTCACATAGAATGTCTTTTAAAAGGCATGGTTTTAAAATTTATCTTTCATCTACAAAGTTTCTTCTAACATTTAAAAACAGTCCCTTTTGATTACTATCAAAAAAAATGAGCTCTAAGTGCTGGCAAGGATGGAGAGAAAAGGCAACCCTCATGTACTGCCGGTGAGAAGGTAAACTGGTGCAGCAGTGATGGAAAGCATTATGAAGATTCCTCAAGAAATCAAAAGCTGAACTACCATACAATCCAGCAATCCCACTTGTAGGTATAGATCCAAAGGAAATGAAATCAGTATCTCAAAGACGTACCGCACCCCACCCCCATATTTACTGCAACTTTGTTCACAGTAACCAAGATATGGAAACAAACTAAATGTCCATCAGTGGACAAATGAAGGATGTGTGTATACATACACACACACTGAAACATTATCATCCATGAAAAGAAGGAAATCTTGCCATTTGTGATAATGTAGATGAACCTTGAGATCGAATGCTAAGTGAAATAAGGCAAAAAGAGAAAGCACAAACTGCATAATCTCACTTAAATGTGGAATCTCAAAAACTCAAACTCTTAGAAATCCAGAGTAGGATGGTGGTTGCCAGGGGCTGAAGCGGGGAGGTGCTGGTCAGAGGGTACAAACTTCCAGTCAGAAGATGAGTAAATTTGGGGGATCCATGTACAGTCTGGTGACTACGGCTAACAACACTGTACTGTATGCCTAGGAGTTGCTGAGAGAGATCTCAAATGTTCTCACTATCAGGACCACAACAAAAAAATGGTAATTATATCAGGAGACAGATGTATTAACTAACTTCTTTTGTGGTTATCACTTTGCAATGTATACATACATCAAATCATCACATCGTACACCTTAAACTTACATGACGTTACATATCAACTATACCTCAACAAAGGTGGAAAAAAAAACATTAAAAAAAAAGAGACATTTCTGGAAGGGAGGAAAGGAAAGTTTCTTATCCTTTGAACTTAGAATTAGTTAACAAAATAAAAAGAAAAAAATCTAGGATCAGATGGGAGATTTAAGCCCACTTCTTCAGTGATTTAAATATTTACTTTTGGGTAAAAAAAAATTAATATTGTGTAAGAAATGTAATTTATATTCAAAGACTATCATAAACACCTAAAGCCCAACAAGTTTAATTAAAAGGAAGAAGTAAACGATGAAGCTCAAAGACGAACTTTTCTTTGACTGGTAGATTAAAAAAAAGAGAAAAAGCAAGAGACCAGAAAGTGTCAAAGATGACAGCATTAAAGAAATAAGAAAGAAACAGACATGTGAGATCTTCACAAACCGAAAGAAGGATGTTAGGAAAGACACCCTTAACAGCAAAATCACAATTCAACTGGATTAAAAAGAATGTAGGATGTGATTTACATATCTGGCCAGATAAGGATAGTTCAATGATCTTATTATTTGGAATAACAGTCTTATAGTTCGAAGAGTTCCCTCCACCCCCACTCCAGATTTCTTTTTAATCTAATAAAAAGACAGGCATGTGCTAGATATGTTTATAGTGTATATAAAACTGGCTAGCTACTTACACTATCATAACCAGGTTTTACAAAAATCATCTTTACCTTATAATTTTAATTATAGGCAGAAATCACTGCTGAGTTCTGTTCAATGCACTTTTGTTGCATTAAAAGTGTACTTTTGTTGCATTTTTTAAATTAAGGCATTTTCAAGGAGTTAATATATTAGAAATTCATATATTTTAAAGAATTCAGAATAGCGACTGCCATATAGATAGACTCAGGCATAGGAGTTTTGTTATAAAAAACAGGCATTATTAATTTCTGATTGCTTCACATGTAGACGAAACATTTCAAACCGATTCAAGGTAAAAGATCCAAAAATCAAATCCTAATTCTAGGTCTCAAAATTCAAGACTCCAAAAGGAATGACAAAACCACTAGCTTACATATCCTAAAAGAATCTGGCACAGTTAAGGTAGGGACTACCCAGTGGTCCAGAGGCTAACTCTGTGCTCCCAACGCAACCGGCGCAGGTTTGATTCCTGGTCAGGGAACTACATCCCTCATACCACAACTAAGACCTGGCACAGCCAAATAGATAAATATTTACAATTAAGAGAAAAAACACGTATATCTACAGGAACCTCAAAAAACAGACACCTCATTGGCTAATTTATTTACTCTCTGATCAGAATAACTCCTCCGAATGAAATATCTGGCAATTCCTATTACTAATCTAGTTCGATGAAGCTATGCAAAAGGTAGCAAAACTGGATGAATTTTTGCCTATGTATTTTTTTTTTTGCCTATCTCCTCAACAATAATAGCTTATTAGCAGTCATTTGCCATATTAATGTCAAAATATAAGTAAAATCAGCATCTTCCTTTACCAAAAAACCTAAATCTAACCTGGAACAGGCAGGATAACAAGATCATGGTTTTGAAAACATTAATACCAAAGTTGTCTCTTTACCATTTTCCTGCTTTTACTCAAGGCACAGTCTTATATTTTGAAATCCTACTAGGGGGACAGTAGTCAAATATGACTTCAGTTCTTATGTTCAAGATGAAGGGGGAGAGACAACTAATGTCTCACAGTATAATCAAAAACATCCAGCAAAAACTGTCAAATGACAAGAGAATAATGTGAAAAACAGTCCAAGTATTTGCAGAAGTAACCTCCTAAATAATTTTTAACACTTTCTGTCTATGAAAGTGCTAAAATGAAGATAAAACCCTCAAAAGATCTGAGTTAAAATTGATATAAGTGTTTTGTGTATGGGGGCTAGGGGGGATTTGATTTTTTGACAGATCTTTTCACTTGAGAATAATCTCATAAGCCTTAATTAAACAAGGAAAACTTAAAAACTCCTCAATGTACCAAAGAATTAGGAGCAATTAATCTGGTTACTTAAAAACTGTAAACATCTAGGTTGCCAATACCTCTATAACCAGATAAACACCCAGTGAATATAATAAGTACAGTTTTTAAAATCTGTGACTGAACTTAGGTGCAGAAAAAAAATTCTTGTTAAAATGACCATAATTTGCTAGCTGGTTTGTCTTTAACCAAAACATTTGTTCAGAGACTATTAAGAATGATTTGACCAAGGCAAAGGGGGATAAAATTTACTAAACACTATCTGTTCTCAATGAGACAACTCAAATTTTCGATATGGAACTAACATTACGCGTTATTCCACTTTCTTTATCTTTTGTGGCTTTCTGAAGCAAACTGTCTTGCCCAATTACATACTTGCAGAATTTTCAATTAACAAAAAAAAAATCTTTACAAAGAAATAATTTTAAAATCACCAAAAAGCCAAAGGACAAGATGTTCAAGACTTTATAGATAGTATCTAAGAAAGAACACAGTCAGGGAATGGCTCTGTCCAGGTGGGCAAAGTTCAGAATGGCCGAGCTCCCTCCCTGCTGGAGTGAATACACTAACACTGCCGGTGGCTGGGGGGCTGTCACTGGGTGCAGCAGTAAAACAGAAGGGAAAAGCCTGGTACAGAAAGCTGAATGGCCCAAAGGAAACCTGAGTGGTGACAAGAACCTAAAGGCACATGCAGGTACGCATCTTTTATATTGGATGTGATACACTTACATGGCCCCTGTTGAATCTCTTGGGGACCAACAGTAAAGAAGTCTAGAACTTCAAATCTTGAGACATCTATAGCAAGATGCTGATCCAATGTGGCTCCAAATATCTTCTGTTTTCCTGGCTCACCTGAAGAGGAAAAAACACTACAGAGGATGTGGGAACTGCATTTCTTTAGGTAGCTTCTTCTAGAGCAACTGTCTGAAAGTTTTGGCCCAGTCCTTTATGAAGTCTGCAGATGAGACACTTGAGGGACTAGTGAAAAACAAAATTCAAATGAAAAGGTGGAGTGAGACATCCAAAAGGGGGAATACGAGAGTCAAAGATAATGGTCGCAGGTAAATCAGTGTTTCTAATCCTTAAGTGGGAGGAGGCAGAGAAAGGAGAGAAAAATGCACGGAGGTTTCTCCCTCCACTCCCTCACCCCAATAGCTACTAAAATTTCACCAAGTACCTGAACTTTTTTTACCACAATTAGGGAGTGAGTGCGCAAGATTACTTGGAGAGTTCAAGCGTTTTGCCAAGTCTCCCTCCCCGGGCTGTGTGGCATTATTAAGCAGCAGGGAGGCCTTTCAGATAATACTTATTTTCTGAGAAAAGATTCTGGTGGAATACAGCTTGAGGCAATAAAGAAAGAGAAAAATAAATGCCATTTATACAAAAATGGAAGTCACAGGACAATATACCCTATTGACAACGTTTATTTACTTCTGTTTTTCCAAAGGGGAGGGACTGCTTTCGTGTAATAAGAAATCAGAACAAAAAGTCGTTTTCAAATAATAGAAAATATTTTTAAACTTAGCAACACAAACTGCATGCTTCTTCCCCTTCGGAAATATTCTCCCTGGAAAGATAATCTTTAAAAAATAAGCTAAGACACCAAGTCTGATGTACATTCACACAAAAGCATAAAAAGGTAGTCCATGAAATTAAATTTTTATTTTTTTAATTAACTTAATTTTTTCTTAAAACATTTTATCTAAATATTGTCTTAGAGCTAATCTCCAGCATTCCTGTAATAGCCTAGGATATAAAACAATTTTCTTTCCAAATATACTCCATTTTAACCATTTAATTTGAACTATGACTGGTAAAGATACCAGAATTTTCTGAAAAATAAAACTGGAGAACCAACTAGATCCTTACCTGACGTGGCTGTTCATTCATTCGTTGTGGATCAGATTTCACTTTATTACTAGGATGATTTGTGACTTTGGTTACTGGTTGCTTGAAAATAGATGCTGTTTGTCTAATTGGCAATGTTGTATTCAAGTCTGGTTTACCCTGTGGATATAAGTGTTTTAATTAATAAATATTATATATAAATGTAATTAATTACTTATTAATTCAATATTTATTACTTTGATTATTCCCAACTTCCCAATCTCAGCATTTTAAATACGCTGAAGTACATTTTAAACACTTTTTTATATAAGATTTATGTAAAGTTTCACAATAAAAAGTGTTGTGTTCTTTAAAATGTCAAAAAATTCTCTATATAAAATTTGATTAACAAGATACTAACAACTTTTTTTTTTGATACTAACAACTTTTAAGCAAACAAATATATATTTATGGTTGGGTGATACAAGAGGAAGGAGGGCTTTCAGGTCAATAACCAGGAAAGCAATCATTTCTACATTCTGAGAATGGAGGAAAATAATGGCGTACTTGGCTATTAAAATATAAATTACCTCCTCAACTGTTAGGGGTCCAGGCTTACATAAAACCACAACGGTTAACCTTCCCTTTTTTATATATATTTTTAAAAAGGTAATTAGAAAGCTTTAATTCCCACAAACAAAGCTCAATTTAGGAAAATGTAATAAAATATTCTCTATCTTTAATTTTATAACACATTTACTTTTTAAAAAGAAACTTAAAATTGAAGTTTCAGAAAAGCAAGCAGCATACTTACAGACTTTTAATCAACCAGTTAAAAAAAAAAGTAAGAAATGAAAATATGGCACAGAATTTCTATTAAATTCACACGAAGTACAGTAACATGCTGTAGGGAGGTGGCGGTGAAGAAAAAGAACAAAATGTGATTTGACTCATTTGGGCTTCCCTGGTGGCTCAGCCGTAAAGAATACATCTGCAATGCAGGAGACATGAGTCTAATCCCCAGGTCAGGAAGATTACCTGGAGAAGGAAATAGCAACCCACTCCAGTATTCTTGCCTGGGAAATACCAAGGACAGAGGAGTCTGGTGGGCTATAATCCATACGGTCGCAAAGAGTTAGACATGACTTAGTGACTAAACAACATCATTGTGATTTGGGCAAAAAATAGAAAGGGTCAAATATATCCTAAAACAATATATAGTACATTAGATATTTTTAGTATAGAAATGTACTTGATAAATCATCTACAGGATGTCAATGAACTTTTATTAACTATCTCCAAATAAAAATTGAATCAACTTCCAGACTTCGAAACAGTGTTTCTCAAACTTGAGCATGCATCAGAGTTACCCAGCGGGCTTATTAAAACACAGATTCCTGGGTCTCACTCCTAGAAATGATGATTCAGGAGGTCTGAGGTCGGGCCTGGGAATTTGCATTTCCATTAAGATCCAGGTGATGCCAATGCTGGTCCAGGGACCACACTTGGGCTCTAAACACCACACCACTAGACCACACCACTGCTCTAAAACAAAGATTGCAAGTTGGCGGCAGGGAGACCAGGTCTCACCCACAGATGTGTTCTGCTCCAGTTCTCAGTCTCTTGAGTCAATGAAGCTAAGAGCTACAAATAAAATCCAGATAAAATCGAGAAATCTAGCTTCTCTTAAAAACTCAAAGATCTAGAAATGGACTGATTTGGCCAAAACAGGCCATGACTGATTAGTAATGGCGGCCACTAGAGGTGTCAAGGGTTGTCATTTTGCAAAAGGCCTCATTTCACATTTGTGACACCTGTCTGAACCCTAAAGGTATTGAGTTTGTGACCTCCGCTTATAGAACATCAGAAATCAGTCTGATCATTATTACAGTTATATTATTTGGGTGCCCTATTCAATGTGTCTCCTCTCCCCCACCCTACCCCAGCCCACGCACGCTGTTCTTCTGCACACACGGGGCATGCTGGCCATTCTCTCATTCACTTTTCTTCCAACATACGTGCTTACCTTTAAGAGGCATATTCATCTTTAAAAACTCTAACAATACCACTTCTCAGGCATTTCATTTTCTTATCTTTATGGTTTTAAAAAAAAAAAAAAAAACTTGATTTAGAGGTGTGGAGACTTGGCCAACAGGCTGCAAAATAACCATTTTAGGATTCCATCTCCAAAAAGCGTGAGGCCCAGGAATGTGTATTTTTTAAACTCTCCTGGTAATTCTGTGATGTGCAGAAGATTTGGATCCCTCTGATTTATGACATCAAGAGCATTCTAAGACCCTAAGTGAAGCCAACCAACCTGTACCAGTCAGTATTCAGTCCAAAAGACGCTTAACACATAATGGCTTACAAAGAACTCTTCCCGCCACTAATTTGTTCTAAGCAGTATCTACCACGAAACACCTTGCTTGGTTTTTAATGTTTTTGTACTTTAATAAAGAATAATATACTCTGCTGGTATTAGAACAAAGATGGGACCAGCAGACAAAGAAATACAGAGCAACTATTTGTATGAACACAGTAGAGCCTGTAAGAGTCTGTTACAAACAATGATTGGAGGAAGCAGGGACTAGCTTAAACTATTCAAAACTATAAAAGGAAAAAAACTATAAAATCCTTAATCCACAAAGACTGGAACGAAGCATGAAACATGTAAAACTACTGGTGCTACAATGATAAGACTAATTTATTATGTTTGTGATGCAATAAAAAATTAATCTACTGGCTAAAAAATTTCATTGTCTGGCAATGACAGTTTATTGCCCAGTGGAACAGAACGAGATTTTTCAAGAGTGTGCAGCATTGCTCTTCTGTTGATCTTATTTATATTTTATTATTTTTCCTCTTTTAAACTGGCCTGAAAGCTCTGAAGAAAGAATTTTTTACTAATTAATTTTGTATTCTACAATAGTATCATGTAAAATAACCTGAAAAGCTGGACTAACTGGTTTTCCCAGAAACTGTCACAAAAAAAAGTAAATTTTATGACCATTCTCTCCTGAGGACTGTCAAAAGAGTCACTGTTAATTCACACCCAGTTGTCTGAGTTTTTCTAAATAACTATAATTCTGCCATGAACCTAGGAGTTATAAAGCAAACTTTTTTTTTAAACACGATGATATTTTAATATAAATACAAATTACAAAACATCATAATAGACAGATGGCAATAAAATATGGTATTTCATTTGTACTGCATGACATCCTTAGTCATAAATAAATTCTTAGAAACCAGTAATAAAGACACTGATACACCAAGGGAAACGAAAAAAAAAAGAACAAAATGAAATAACACAAATGACTAGTAAGGATTAAGCATATATGAATGAAGATGACCGAACTGAACAATAACAGAAGAAAAGCAATTTCTTTGTAATATCATATTGCCAAAGATTAAAAATCTAACATTTGTACAGTTTTAGGAAATATACCCACATAAACACTGGTGGATACAATAATGGTCATTATAGTGGTGGTTATTTTAGCACTCTTTTTGAGACTTTTGCACATGTGTGAGTTCAATATTAAAACATGGTTAATATATCTGTGTATAGACACATGACAATCTAAAAATCAAATGTGAATTACTGAATAGAAAGTTGTCTGGAAAATCACAGCAAAATTTTAACCTTACTGTATAAACAGATCACAAAAGAAGGGACTGCTACTATTTTCTGCCTTTAAAGTACTTTTTTCAAAATGGGACAAGATTAAAGCTATTCGTGTATTTGAAATCTTCCCTTTCAATATAGGAATAAGTGAAACCAAGTTCCTTATATTATAAAACAAAACTGACAGAAACACACATTCTAACAAAGTTTCCAACCTTAAATATATCTTCTCAGTATACAGGCTAGCACTCAAATAAAAATTTAGTGTATTTTATAATAATGTGTATATTAAGCTGGGAAGTTTCCAATAACTCAAATAATTGTTGACAGTTTATTCTATTCCCCCTGGGATGAATACAAAAATAAATCTTTCTAAAATTTTTTTAAACTTTTACTTTATTTCTAATAAATATCTGCGATGGCTCTTAAAACTTCAAAAAACAAGTACACAATAAAAATTAATTTTAATCAAGGACAAGGCGAAATAAACTTCCTTTTGAAATGGTTAACAGTGATTGATACTAGCCTTAACCATCAGATGTGGATCTGAACTTTCTAGGGGTGTGGGCAAAAAAAGAAACATTCAATGACAAAGATTTCATACTCAGAAAGAAGGAAGCATACCAATTAAAGAGGAAAATAAAAGCTGGTATTAAATCTAGAAAAAAAAAATAGACACTTAAATCACAACAGATAGTAAACAGATTTCAAATGCTTTTTTTTTGCTGTTAATTGTTTATTTATTGAGAGACTATTTCTCACCCCAGATAGTCCTAGTTTCATAGTTCAGGAACACAGGAAAGTGACACACTTCCATGGAACTCAACCCAAGAAATCCTTTATATTCCAAATCACTTTGCACTCTGAAAAATACCAGCCTTCCTCATGTCCTCAAAATCTTTCATGGAATCATAATTCCTGTAGAAATCTGCATATGCCTTCTTTCTTCGTTCAGCCACAGCAAACTTATAGAAAGTTACAAACCCTAGGGAGACCATGAACGCTCCAACAATATGAAATCGCAGACGTTTGGCCAGGCGGCCACGCATCTGAGGTTTTGCCAGCGCAGTGGACATGGTAGCTCTCCTTCTCGGCGGCTCAACCGCAACGTCCTTCTAGGCTGATGGAGAAATGGACCTCAAATGCTTTTTCTTTTCCCACTGACCTTCCGTAAAAGCCAAGAACATATATAAACGACAACTCAGTGAAGATGACTTTGAAAAGGACTAAACCAGCATGGCCTGGTTATTGTGTAACCTTTCAATGATTCAATGTGAGCCTGCCTCTTAAGAAACCTATATGCAGGTCAGGAAGCAACAGTTAGAACTGGACATGGAAAAGGAGTATGTCAAGGATGTATATTATCACCCTGCTTATTTAACCTATATGCATAGTACATCATGAGAATCGCTGGGCTGGAAGAAGCACAAGCTGGAATCAAGATTGCCAGGAGAAACATCAATAAATATGCAGATGACACCACCCTAATGGCAGAAAGTGAAGAGGAACTAAAAAGCCTCTTGTTGAAAGTGAAAGAGGAGAGTGAAAAAGTTGGCTTAAAGCTCAACATTCAGAAAACTAATAAGATCATGGAATCTGGTCCCCTCACTTCATGGGAAAGATGGGGAGACAGTAGAAACAGTGTCAGACTTTTTTTGGGCTCCAAAATCACTGCAGATGGTGACTGCAGCCATGAAATTAAAAGACGCTTACTCCTTGGAAGGAAAGTTATGACCAACCTAGATAGCATATTAAAAAGCAGAGACATTACTTTACCAACAAAGGTCTGCCTAATCAAGGCTATGATTTTTCCAGTGGTCACGTATGGATGTGAGAGTTGGACTATAAAGAAAGCTGAGGGCCGAAGAATTGATGCTTTTGAACTGTGGTGTTGGAGAAGACTCTTGAGAGTCCCTTGGACTTCAAGGAGATCCAACCAGTCCATCCTAAAGGAAATCAGTCCTGAATATTCACTGGAAGGACTGATGCTGAAGCTGAAACTCCAATACTTTGGCCACCTGATGTGAAGAGCTGACTCACTGGAAAAGACCCTGATGCTGAGAGGGATTGGGGGCAGGAGGAGAAGGGGACAACAGAGAATGAGATGGCTAGACGGCATCACCGACTCGATGGACATGAGTTTGAGTAAACTCCGGGAGTTGGTGATGGACAGGGAAGCCTGTCGTGCTGCAGTTCATGGGGTCTCAAAGAGTCGGACGCGACTGAACTGAACTGAATTCTAGAAAGGGCTTCCATGGTAGCTCAGCTGGTAAAGAATCTGCCCGCAATGCGGGAGACCTGGGTTCCATCCCTGGGTTGGGAAGATCCCCTGGAGAAGGGAATGGCTACCCACTCCAGTATTCTTGCCTGGAGAATCCCTGTGGACGGAGGAGCCTGGCAGGCTACAGTCCACGGGGTCTCAGAGTCGGACATGACTGAAAGCACACAATGCTAGAAAAGAGGAAAACTAAAACAGTGACGCAGATCATGTGTCTTTAACCTGTAGCATTCAAATACCGTTTCACTGCTAACCCCTAAATTTTATTGAAAATAGATTAACCCCACCTATTTCAATTTTTTAAATGGAGGAAAAAAAAGAAAAGAAAAAAAGAAAACAGGACACTTACAGATATCATTTTAATTCTGTGGCTTTGCATACCCCAAGAGATATTCATGTCCCAATTTGAGAAGCAAAGACTTTTATTTTTCTAAAGTCGCTTTCCTTATCTGAATGAGGTAAATACAGTAACTGTTCTTAAGATTCTTACAAAAGCAAACAAGATAATGCAGGTGTGATGCTACTGCTCAAGCAGCATTCATTAAGTCAGTTATTGAACAAATACTGAGTGCCTACTATCCACCAGATACAGACCATGTGCTGTGTACAGAGTCATTCACAAATACCAAAATCCTTCAGAGCTTACACTCACAGGGCAGAGAGAAGACAAAACAGTGGTATAGCTTATAGTCATGTTGGCACATAAATTCTGAATAAATAGCAGCTATCACTATTATCAGCATATCATGTTATTGAACATGCTACTGAAAGTTAAAACCTTAACCTATTAAGCTTCCCCATAAGTCACCTCCTGGTTCATGCAATGAGGAGCCTGAGCTTTAGGGGGAACCAAGATTATCCTCAAAACCTAATTTTGGATTTGCTCCCAGATGCACAGTAGCCAATGCATTTCCACAAAAGTCAAAAGCCAATATAAAGTGCTTTACAGTCCTTCATTTTTTTTTAATATATGATTCACTCAACATAAAATCCATCATTTTATTCAATTCAGTGGGTTTCAGTATATTGACATTCAGTGATTTTTAGTATATTGACAAAAGTGCAACTTTGCAAAAAGGTTTTTGCAAAAAGTAAATATGTATCTGGGATCTATGATTTTGTAATGAAAATCCACTTCATGTAATATCATAAATAATACCTTTTTAAGGAGAACACTGGAATATTGAATATGTAAAATATAATAAAATGGGTGGACTCTACTTTGAGTTCATTAAAAAAGGATGTAGTTCATTGAAGTGGAGGTTTGTAATTCATCACTGAAATCAAGTTTTGAAGAGTTTTGTTTGAAAAGTAACTTCTTGGAACT